TATATATATATATATATATATATATATATATAATCAGTTCAGAAATTATTAAATAACCTACTAATAGTATTTAGTCTATTAGTAATCTTTATCCATTTTCAGTGTGTTTCATGAACTCATGATATTTAGGGAGCATTTGCTGGCTTGTTTCTTTAAGAGAAATGTAGTTTGATTGAAGCTTTGTTTTTCTTCCTTTTCCTTATTGTAATTGTGGTTTCTTATGGCCCATTTTCCCTGTGTCTTTCTGCTTAACCCTTAAAGAAGTTCATATTTCAAGGAGTCTTCTATAATTTTGCCTTCTAGGACACCCTTTTAGTGGTGATTCTGTTTTCTTTCTCATGCGTGTGTTTTTTCAAAGTGTGTTAGGTGGACTCTAGGCATTTGATGGTGGGAAGGGTGAGCTGAGAACATGGAGTGTGACAGCAGCTGGGGAGATGGGTGTGTGACCCTTAGGGCAGGGAGGTTATTCCTCTGATGGTTGGGGGCGGCTCCATAACCCATAGCTCACGTGCTCACGAGTGTGTCTGTAGCCTTAGTTCAGCCATAACTGTTCAAGATGGGTTTCCCCTTGTCTCTTTTCAGAGCAACCAACGTGTCGACCTTTATAAGTGGAAAGACGGCAGTGGGGAAGTGGCCACAACCTTACAAGGCCACACTCGTGTCATCAGGTAGGCACAGCCGTCCACTGCTCCCTGGCCTGTCTCACTTTGTCACAGTCCCTCGGGAAGTGAAACAAAGACACCGTCCCCCTCCAGGCTTGACCCTCTGTGTTGCATTGGCCCCAGGTGGCTGCTGTGTCCTTAGCAGTCCTGAAGTGATGGTCTTTGCAGCGAGGAATAGCCAGTGTTTAGGAGTCAGCATCCCTGTAGCTGTTAACCCTGATCCCAGGAGACACTTAGGTACAGCCTGGTCCAGAATAAAGGGTTAGAGCTGTTTGCTGCAGGAGGGAGATACTTACGCCCACAGAATCCCCCAGCTCATGGTCGGTGGTGCCCCAGAGCACAGAGACCTTGGGGGCCAGCCCTTTGCTCTCTGTCCAGCCACAGTGGGGCACCACGTGGAGCTCCTGCATCATAGTCCATTACCCAGATGCCCAGTTGCTTCCCACTCGTGGCCTTCCAGCTGGCTTCTAGAATCTTCCTGGATCCATCCTTTTCTGGGTGGGGAAAACTTCTTGTGAGAAGTAGCAGCAGGAAGTGTGGGAGTGGTGAAGCTGACGTGGGAGGTGATGGGAAAGGCCAGAACCCCCGGCCTGTGTTAACTGTTTGTGTAGCAAGTGCCTTTCAAGGAGTGAGGATGTGGGTGGGGAGAACCAGAGCCCTGCTTGCCCTCCTTGAAAGCTGTGAGGCAACACGGCAGTTTGCCAGTGCTTTAAAGATGTTGGGTTTACTCAAGGTACCTGTGGTTGAGTCTGATTTAAAAAAACGATGTCAACAATTACGTGGGGTTTTTTTCTTTGTTTTGTCTTAGTTTGCGCACATGCATGTATGTGCGCTTTTGTGTGTGTATGTGTTTTAAGTCGAAATGCTCCGTTTCTTTTGGTTTGGGGGAGCAGGTGGTAACCAGGGAAGGACCTGAAAGTTTCCTTCAGAGCTTGGTTAAGTCTTCTTTCCCAAAGAACTTTGGAGATTCCCAGCCTAAACCATGTTCAGGGGCCCATTAACAGTGACTTTCTGAAGCCACTAGAAATGAAATCTGCGAATGCTTTGGAAATGGACTCTGAATTTTTTCTCTTCATTGTTGTCCTGTTTATTACTTGTGTTTCCAGTGACTTGGACTGGGCAGTGTTTGAGCCAGATCTCCTGGTCACCAGCTCTGTGGACACCTACATCTACATTTGGGATATCAGGTAAGAACCGTTAAGAGGCATAACCACTTGGCTGTGGGATGATCTGGGACCTTTGTTTTAGAGATCGGGTATCTTAATTTGGTTTTCCCTAGATGCAGACCCTGAGACGAGGAGACATTGCCGTTACGTTGTTTAGGAGGGGACAGAACTGCTGGTGGGGGTGGGAAGAGAGACAGGATCGGGAAGGCCACACAGAGAGGGCACATCATCTACTTGGGTACCACCATGAACAGGTGGAGCTTGATCTTACTGGGAACACTAGGGGCTGGTGTACCACTCCCTCCTCAGAGGTGTTCCCCTCCGAGGGCTGATGAAGCGGGGGTGCCATCCACTGTCAGTCATTGGTTGAAGGCTGTCCCTGGGGGCCTCATCTCCCTGGCACTTCAGGCCTGTCACAGAGGTTTGCAAAATGGGCTTCAGCAGCCAGGGAAATCCGTTGTCAGAGAACCACAGGTTCTGGCATTTGGAAGTCAGGCTGGAGTTTCCTGAAGTGGCAGATGACGGTGGGGGCATTCTGATGGGTACAGACACACACGTGCTGCAGCGAGCAGTGCTCCAGGACAGCTGCTTTGCTCTTGGTGACGCTTCACTTCCCCTCTGGAAAGCGGGTTGAGAGCCACCTTGTAGAGCAGCTCTCCATGGAGCAAAGAGTAGAGGAGCGCCCAGCCCAGGGCCTGGCGCGTCCTAAGTTCTTAATAAACATCCATTCCCGTTTCTCTTTGTAAAGCAGATTCCTTTCCCCGTAACAGTTAGCTGGAGGGCCTGTGGCCTCTCCCCAGCCAGGCCACTCTGCTCCCAAATGGCGGTGACTTTGTGATGCTTTACACTGAAAGGTAAACTGTAGGCAGAGGACAAGCCAGGTATTGAGGTTTGACTGACCAGACAGACCAGGGAAAGGGATCCTCAGGGAGTAAGGATGCACACAGCTGACTTCACCTGCATCCCATGCAGGTTAGCGCTTCCAAGGTGACAGGTCTAAGGGCAGCGCCAGAGGAGGGAGAAGGAGCAGAAAATCCAGGGGAAGTGGAAGAGAGGGGCTCTTAACGAGCAAACCGCCCCCTGGGAGCTCTGGGGCAAGCGTCCCTCATTTACATGAAACAGTTGTTTTCATAATTTAAAGACTGAAAGACACTTGAACTGACTTGCCTTCTCAGGTCTTCTGAACGGTAAGCCAGGGCTGCAGATTTGCCTTGTCTGGCCCTCCTAGCCCTAGGGGGCTGCCCAGTTCTGTCATTTTGACCATTCGTGGTGAATGGTTGAGTCTCCCATTGTATACAGGAGTAGTTTAAAAAATAAAATAAAATCGTGGTAAAAGCCGCAAAGCAAAATTTACCATCTTAATCATTTTTAAGAGTGCGGTTCAGTAGTGTTAAGTATATTCACATTGTTGTGCAACAAAGCTCCAGAACTTTTTCATCCTGCAGAACTGAAAATCTGTACCCATTAACCAACTCCCCGTTTCCCCCTCCTTTGAGTCCCTGGCAGCCACCACTCTACTTTCTGTCTCTATGAATTTGATGACTCTAGGTACCACGTGTAAGTGGAATCATACAGTGTTTGTCCTTTTGTGACTGACTCACGTCACTTAGTATAATATCCTCAGGGTGCATCCATGTTGTAGCTCATTACAGTATTGCTTTCCTTTTTAAGGTCTAATAACAATCCATTGTATGTAGAGACAATAGTGTATTTATCCGTTCATCAGTTGTGGACACTTAGGTTGCTTCTACCTCTTGGCTGTTGGGAACATCCAGAGTAGTTTTCCAGTCCACCTTGGCAGTGCTGTTGGTTCTTGCAGAATTACGCCTCCATGACTGTCCCGTTGTTCCACAGGAGAAATGACACCAGGAAGGGGTTCCCTTGGCTCCCTCCACCCCCGCATCAGAGTCACCCAGGCCACGCCAGGTCGTGTATTTTGTTCTCTGTGGATACAACTGTATAATTGGAAATTCAGACTTAGCCTCAGCTGAAGAGGCTTAGAAAGTTCATCTCCCTGGAGGGAGATAGGCTTCTCTTTACACTACTTTTTAAGGTCCTCCCATTCCCACTGAAGTCCAAGAACTCACTGAAAGGAAAGTGAAGAAATGCGAGCAGTGGGAGAAAGGCACCAGGTGGATGGGGGCAGGTGAACGGGCTTTTGACTTCTGACTCTTATGTTTCAGAGATACACGGAAGCCGACCGTTGCGCTATCTGCTGTAGGTGAGTGGACGCCCCCCCCGCCGTCGGCCTGCATTCCCTTCCTTCCACTGCTTCGCTCCCACTGACCCCCCGTCCCCCATGCCCCGGGCTCTGTCTATGGTCGCGTGGACCTGTAAGGTCCGCGTCACAGGGCCCTTCTCCTGCTCCTCTCAGAAGTTAGAGTCAGGACTGTAGAATGTGGTCAGGAACTTATTTCAAAATTCAAGGGCAGGAGCCACATTGGTTTGTTTTTAAACTTTTTCTTGCGGAAACTTTCAAAAGTGTATAAAACTAGAAGAGGATGAATTGCCTTGTGTTCATCATCCAGCTTGAACGTTGTCAACGAACAGATAATCTTCTTTCCTCTTTCACCTACTAGCCCACCCACCCCTACCCCTATCCCCTTTGGGATTATTTTGAAGCAAATCCCAGGTGTCATATCATTTCATCAACAAATATTTCAGTAAGTATTTTTAATAAGAGAAGAATCCTTTTAAAAAAAACATAACCACAATACCATTAGCATACCTAAAAATATTAACAGTAGCTCTTTAATGTCATCAGATATTTAAGCAGTATTCAAATTTCCCCAGTAGTCTCAGTAGTTTTGTTTTTTGTTCTTTTTTTACAAATTATTTGAATCAGAAGCCAAATAAAGTCCATATTTATAATTGGTTGATATATTTCTCATCTCTTTCAATTGGTAGGTTTCTCCTCCCTTCCCTTTTTTGGTTGGTTTGTTTGTTTTTCCTTCCCTGCAGTTTCTTTACTGAAGAAACTGTGGTTTCCGCACAGTCTAGATTATACTGATTGTGTCCCCGTGGTATCATTTATGGGCATACTGGGCATACTGAAACTTTGAAATTACTTTCTGAGCTACCTGTTTTCATCACTCTGTTGGGATTTGACTATTTTTTCAGTTCTGCATTGGGCCTGTTACAGAGTATTCTCACCACTTCCTGAGAGTTGAACTTGGGCATAGAACTGGTATACCTTGCCCACCATGATGAAGCCCAATCATCAGTATTCTATTTTGGCATCCTTGGTCAAAACAGATCATATTATCTATCTCTTAAATCCTGCTTTTTTTTTTTTTTTTCCTTTTTTGCAGTACACGGGCCTCTCACTGTTGTGGCCTCTCCCGTTGCGGAGCACAGGCTCCGGACGCGCAGGCTCAGCGGCCATGGCTCACGGGCCCAGCCGCTCCGCGGCATGTGGGATCTTCCCGGACCGGGGCACGAACCCGTGTCCCCTGCATTGGCAGGCGGACTCCCAACCACTGCACCACCAGGGAAGCCCAAATCCTGCTTTTTTGTATCTTCTTGCATCATTTGAATTCACATTTGGTGTTTGCTCCAAAATGATCACATGATTCTTCTTTTTATCCCCCTGCACCCCAACACCTCATCATTTGAAGGCATTAAACATCATGACTGTATTAAGCAGTTGGTTGGTTTGTTCTGTGAAGTTAGGGACCACATCTGCCTTGTTCAGGGCTACAGACCAGGGTCAGCCTAAGCACCTGTCCTGTGGAGATACTCTGGAAGTGTTTGTTCCATGGATGTGGAACTCAGCCACCTGTGTCTCTTGTGCTGAGTGCTTAACAGTTGTGCTGGTGCCTCCCTCACAACCTGTGCACACACACTTGTAGGCATTTATGACCTGAGGCATAGAATGGCCAACAGACGTGGTTGCAGAGGACACATAGCTGAAAGAAACTACTAATGGTCTGTGAATGCTGCAGTCATCCATCCCTGAATTTGTTGTTTCTACTTGCAGGCTTCTAAGTTAGATGGCTTATAGAGGACCTCTAAAAAGAAAGATTATTCTAATTTCTTTCTTTTGGGAGTCTTTCTGAAAAAACAGAGGTAGGAGACTTCTTTTTTTTTTGCACCTCAGTGAGCTCTCAGTGGTGGCAGAGCTCTCATTCCCTGAGAGGTGCAGCCCAGGTGCTGCGCCTCCCCAGAGCCTGTGGTTCTCATCTCTCTATGAGCACATTGTTTATACCTTGGGGTAGGGGGTCAGTAAGAGCATGTCTGTGTGTGCTCCACAGCGTTCTCTGTTTCTGAGAGCTCCTATGGTCTGGGAGGTCTCCGTTTGACCCTGGTGTCACAATCCTAGTAAAACACGTTGAATTAGGGCCTTCCCAGAATCCTCTGGGAGGCTTCATGTTCTGATGGACCACCTACTGGGAAAGGCATATTTTCTTGGAACTTGTTTTTCTTTTCTTTTCCTTTTCTTCCGGTTTTATTGAGATATAATTGACACACAGCACTGTATAAGTTTGTGTACAGCATAATGATTTGACTTACGTACATGATGAAATGATGACCACAGTAAATTGAGTGAACATCTATCATCTCATTTAGACACAACATCAAAGACATAGAGAAAAATTTTTTTCCTGTGTTGTTGAATTCTTTGGTAACTCGGTCACGTGGAGATGGAGCAGTATTTTTTTTTTAATAAATTTATTTATTTATTTCTGGCTGCGTTGGGTCTTTGTTGCTGTGTGCAGGCTTTCTTTAGTTGCAGTGAGCGGGGGCTACTCTTTGTTGCTGTGCGCAGGCTTTCTCTAGTTGCAGTGAGCGGGGGCTACTCTTCGTTGCTGTGTGCAGGCTTCTTATTGCGGTGGCTTTTCTTTGTTGCAGAGCACGGGCTCCAGGCGTGTGGGCTTCAGTAGTTGTGGCGTGCAGGCTCAGTAGTTGTGGCACATGGGCCCAGTTGCTCCGTGGCACGTGGGATCTTCCTGGACTGGACCTTGAACCTGTGTCCCCTGCATTGGCAGGCAGATTCTTAACCACTGCGCCACCAGGGACCCTGGAGCAGTCTTTTTTTACACACTTTCTCCTCTAGCTGATATCATTTCTTGCAAAGAAACTGGGTCTCCTAAGTAATAGGAGACCATCCTCCAACTTCAGGGTCTCCATCATTCGTTCTTAGGTGACGTAAGGTGCCCTGTGTCTCAAGGAAAAAAAAACACAACAAAAAAACAAATAAGCAAACAAATACCCTCACCAAAACCAAGCAAGGATAAGGTCTGGGCCTTACTGTTTCCTGTTAGGTTCTAAGTCCTTGCTTTCTGTCTCATACTCTGCGGATTCTTGGGTCAGGTTGCTCTCCAAAGTCCTGGATCCACTGCGGTGTCCCCAAGTAATAAACACCCACCCAAAAGGAGAGGGTGTCAAAGCAGAAATGTCATATGTTGTCTGAGCAAAGAACAAGAAGAGGTGCAAGGAGAGTCATCATGTGATTCTGGTTTAACATAATCATCGTGATTATTTTGAGTCAGTTGGAAGTGCTGCTATGTCCCAATTTTCCACCTGTCTCAGCCCCTTCTGGCATCTTCCAGTATGCCTCTCTTATGTAGCTCTTTTGTCCCCATTGTTGTTACCTCTGTGTTCTGGCAGAGGACTGAGTTCACACGGTGCCAGGAGTGTTCCCTTTCCCTGTCTCCACGCAGGGCCACGTGTAACCGCTCGCTGATGGGGAGATGAGAGTGGGCGTGGGGTGCACATAATTTTCTGAGGGCAGAATTGGGCCACACTGGGGCTTATTCTTCAGCTGAGCCTCATCTGGAGGCTGTGTTTTTCCAAGACGCTCCCTCCCCCAGAAACGAAACCAAAAAAACCAGTGTGGGAAGGAGCAGGCTTTGAGCTGAGGCTCTTCTGATTGGGAGCGCAAGCTTGGTGTCCGAGAGGATTAAGGGCCAGGTTGTGTGATGTGTCAGTTACCAGCCAGCAGAGCCGGGCTGAGCCGCCGCTCTGTAAGAAACTGTATTTCCCTGCTGATTCTGCTCGGAGGTAACCTGAAGGTTTTTTTTTTTCTCCTTAGTGAGATTATTTCCTCAATTAGGTGACTCTGATCCTGTTCCCATGTGTTAATTCATTTATTCTTTGGCTTCATTTTCTCCTTATTGCTGGAGCTGATGCAGTCATAGAAGCTTGAAGAGTTCTGTTCTTACTCATCCGGAGCTCATTATCCAGCTCCCCTGGATAAGCTCCACTCTGGTACTGAAGGCGTTGAGGGCAACAGCTTTCCTCCCCTGATTTTTCTTTGCAGCGGGGGCCTCACAGGTCAAATGGAATAAAAAAAACGCTAATTGCCTTGCCACCAGTCATGACGGGGATGTACGGATATGGGACAAGCGGGTAAGTAATCTTTTTCCCCTCTGAGAGGATATGAAGAGGATGCTGTGAATAGCAGGACTTGTTTTGAGAGACCAGGGTACCCTGTGCAGCCTGGTTAATTGCCATGTTAAGATCCTAGTACCAGATGACGTTTGCTTCCCTATCAGACTGGTGTTGATGGAAGATAAGGGAGTGAGACATTATGATCAGTGGTTAAGAAAATGAACTTGGGGAATTCCCTGGCGGTCCAGCAGTTAGGACTCTGAGCTTGCACTGCAGGGGACACAGATTCAATCCCCGGTCAGGGAACTAAGATCCCGCAAGCTGCGTGCTGCGGCCAAAAAAAAAAAAAAGAAAATGAACTTGGCCTGACCTTAGCTAGCGTCCCATTTTGCTGCCTCCTGATTATGATATCAGGTGAGCCACAGACTTTTCCAAGCCTCAGTTTTCTTTTCTTTAGAATAAAGATGATAATAGTGTGTGTGTCCCTGAGGGGGTCAAGCCTGGGGGACCAGACACTGTTCTAGAATGGTCAGCAGGCTTCATATTCCTGCCCCAGATTGCAAAGTGAAAACTCATTGTTCTAGGACATTATACCATCTAGAATTAAATCACTGAGGCAGGATACTTGGTATGCTCAAATCTTCCCTTGGAAGTCTAGCTGTGCCTCAAATGAGCCTGCAGTGCGTACGTTCTCCCTGCATTAGCCCATGGACCTGAGAGGCATGAAAGAGTTGCAGGGTTCTGGGCTGCTACTGTAATGGCAAGTCTGGAAGTTTGATATGTTGGCATCAGTGAGAACAGTGATGCAGGGAAAGGGCCTCTTCCATAACTAACTGCCAGACGATTGGGTAAGAATGCAGAGCGTGGTCGACTTCTGTAAGATCTGGGGTGTAAATTCTGCTTCCTGCTCTGTGAAACCTGCCTTCGTGGGGAGGACGTACTGTTAGTTTTCCTGGAACTTGTTCAGGAACTGTCCCAACTGGGATGCTGACTGTAAAGTCTCAGCCTTGCTTCCGGCTGCCCTGCTCCCTTTCCCTTCCAGCAGGGAATAAAGTCATACAGTTGGAGAGGAGAGGGAAGTGAAGCAGAGATTGGGAGGCTGCTGGATTGGGTGCCAAGACCTGCTGGGAAAGGGGTGTGCTGGCCGAAGCCCTCGCTTTAGGTGGCTCTTAGGTGACAAGGTGATTTTATAAGGAAAGGATGGATGGTGCATCTTCTATATGTTAGTTTTATCTCTGTCCCTTTAGTCCAGTCTGGTAATAGTCATTCTTCATCCATCTTTATTTCTTCAATTGGCAATTGGTTTTATTCATATTTGTCACTGGTATAGCATTTAAATATAGTAAATTGTTTAACTAAAATGTTTGGTTAATTTGTTGTACTTGTGTATTTGCTTTAGACTGTTTTCAGAGCCATAGGCAAAATAAACAATTGGGTATTTAGCCATGAACTCGGTCAGGACCTGTTTTCCAAAACAGTAGCTGTGTTCCTTATCTTGTAGAAATATACTGCTGAACTGTTTCTTTCTAACCTTCTGACTGGTCTACTCATAACCCTGACTTCCCTTAGCGAGCCTTTTATCTATTTTGTTTAAAGAGCTTTAACTTTTTCTTGGCTATTAATACTTAGGACTTCTGTTCATGTGGATTGTAAAGCTTGTTGGTTGTAATTTCACTTCTCTGGCACTTTCTAGTATCAAAGCAGGACTATTGGCAGCAAGCATCACAGACTTAAAAAAGTGCAGTATCAGTGGTAATGTTGGATTTTCACTCAAATTCGTGAGTGACTGGTAATACTAGTATTTCTAAATGTTTATTATGCACAGGCATTGTTCTAAGAACTTTATGTGCATTGATTCATTTCTCTTTATAACTAACCTTTAAAGTAGGTAATATTATTACCCCATTCTACAGCTGAGTAAACTGAGGCACAGTTTGTTGCCAGGATTTAAATTCAGGGAGGCTGGTTCTGGAGATTGCACTCTTAACCTAATAGACCAGTGCTGATTACAGAAAGTAACACATGCTCTTTGTTGAAAATATAAAAGAGAAAATAAAAATCATTTATAGTCCTTCCCCAGAGACAAATGCTAATATTTTGGTGTTTTCTTTTCTTATGCTTTTTTTAAAAACATGGTTTATCATATCATATGCATAGTTATGCATACTTTTTTCATTTAACATTACAACAAATGCATTTCCCCTGTGTTATAAGCTCTAAGTTTAACTTTTAGTGGCTACATCATATTGTATCAGATAGCTGTACAATAATTGGTTCTAACATTTAATTATTCCCCACTTATTATTCATGTTGTTTCTGGTTTTCTAGGTGTTCCAAATAACACCAAGATGAACATCTTTGGTACCTAAAGCTTTTTGTGAATTAGGATATTCCCTTAAGAAAGGAAGAATTTTAAGTCTGTTGATAAAAATTGTCCAGTTTTTTCCCCGAACAGGTTATACTATTTTTTTTTTTTTTGCGGTACGCGGGCCTCTCACTGTTGTGGCCTCTCCCGTTGCAGAGCACAGGCTCTGGACGCGCAGGCTCAGCGGCCATGGCTCACGGGCCCAGCCGCTCTGCGGCATGTGGGATCTTCCCGGACCGGGGCACGAACCCGTGTCCCCTGCATCGGCAGGCAGACTCTCAACCACTGTGCCACCAGGGAAGCCCAGGTTATACTATTTTATATGTACACCACCAGTGACAAATGCAGCCTCACTGCATTGAATATTATCTACAAGTATCTTCTAACTTGATTGCTAAAAACAATCTTTTAATGTTTTAATGTATGAATATATTTCTGAGGTTTCCTTCTGAATTTGTTTTATATATGCTTATTAGTCATGTATTGTTTTCTTTTGTGATGTGTGTTCATTCTCTTTTTGAGGTCTTAGGGCTTGATCATTTTAAGATTGGTGGTTTTCCGACATAGAGAACAAACTAGTGGTTACCAGTGGGAGAGGAAGGGGGGAGGGGCACTATAGGGGTGGGGGATTATGCGGGACAAACTATTATGTACAAAATAAGCAACAATGTTGTGTTGCATTGTACAACACGGGAAATAAAGCCAATATTTTATAATAACTATAAATGGAGTATAACCTTTAAAAATTGTGACGCACTATATTGTACACCTGTAACATACAATATTGTACATCAATTGCACTTCAATTAGAAAGAAAAAGATTAGTGGTTTTACCCCCAGGATGGGGTTGGGTCTGTTTAGATGTCACAGCCCCTCTTTGTGGGTGATTGTGAAGAAGGGGAGCAGGAATTGCAGACCACGGTACCAAAGGAGAAAAGCATCCGTTACCTTGTGTCCTTCATTAAGGCCGTACCTGGAGCCAGAGCGGAAGTAGATTAGGCTCACAGGCCCGTATTCAGAGCATGCATGAAGGAGAGCTGGAGAAGTCTTCTGTCATTTGTTTTCAACAAAACAAATGGAGGGCTTCCCTGGTGGCGCAGTGGTTGAGAGTCCGCCTGCCGATGCAGGGGATACAGGTTCTTGCCCCGGTCCGGGAAGATCCCACATGCCGTGGAGCGGCTGTGCCCGTGAGCCATGGCCGCTGAGCCTGCGCGTCCGGAACCTGTGCTCTGCAACGGGAGAGGCCACAACAGTGAGAGGCCCGCGTACCGCAAAAAAACCCCAACAAAGTGGAATTTCTTAAGAACAGAGATGGTCTCTGGGAGTTTTTTGTTGTTGTTTTGGCTGTGCCGTGCGGCATGCAGGATCTTAGTGTCCTGACCAGGGATCAGACCTGTGCCCCCCTCCAGTGGAAGCGTGGAGCCCTAACCACTGGACCGCCAGGGAATTCCTCTGGGAGTATTTTTGTATTCCCACTCGGCACCCAGCAGACTGTTACATGGTGGACACTATGAGTTCCTTCTGAAGTGACAACTCTCGTTGCTGATCCTGTTTCAGAAACCCAGCACAGCAGTGGAATATCTCGCAGCCCACCTCTCCAAAATCCACGGCTTGGACTGGCACCCAGACAGCGAGCACATTCTTGCTACCTCCAGTCAAGACAACTCTGTCAAGGTGAGCGGCTCCCCCAGGGCAGTTGGGGGGCATGTTTGGGAGGCATCAGGGGTGTGTCAGCACTTCAGAAGGAAATTTGCAGTAAGTCAGCATGGCGCGTGTTTCAGGGGTGCATGTGCTTTTTGGGGAGCTGGGCAAGTACACCTGGTTGTGTGGTCCAGCGGGAGTGATGTAGTAGCACGTATCTGATATGGCTCCTGGCATTTGTTTAGAGGCTTTTCTTTCTCTTTGTGAAAGGAAGTCAGAGGCAAAAACATCTAGAAAGGAAAAGAAGTTTACTTGCCAAGAAGTTGTCAGGAAGTCCCATTTCAGGACTGGCTCATCAAAATAAAAACACAACAGATAAACAAAGGAGAAAAGCCCACATGGTCATTAAAGTTACCAAGTTTACCATTAGTCTGGGGTGGAAAAAGAGTGATTTTCTCACGTGATTATCACATCTGCACAAGTTAGGACGTCTTCGATCATCAGCATTTCACAGGTAGAGTTGGAGTTGTTTTATTAGAGATTCTCTAACTTACAGGAGATGCGCAAGAATTTATGTATGTCGGTGACCCTATTATTTTTGGTTTCTCTCAGTGTTTCTTGTTTGTTTATCCTCTCTGACTGTGGGATGTGATATGCACCCTTGTTCAAAAGGATGCAGGGCACAGAGTTAGCTGTGCCCCACAGTTCCTGCATATGATCAGGTCTCTGCCTGGAAGGACAGAGATTTAACCACAGAAATTTGCTTAGCAACTTTAGGATTCAGCTTCAGCAATTTAATGCTTTGTTTTATTTACACAGGCATGTACGTCTTTTTGGTATGGTTAGCAAAGCTAGAATCGTACACTCAGGCTTAAAATCTAACTTCTCTCTGGAGGTTTGTAAATCCCCTGGGGTTGTAATTTGTTCTTATGTGCCAACAGTGGTTTTTCTGTTTGTTTGTTTGTTTGTTTTGGATTTAAGTGTTTGTCCCCATACCCCATCAGCTTGTTTCCCAACTTCAGGAACCAGAAATCATCCGATTCACCTCCTTCTCTTTCTTTGAGGTCCCCAAGTTTGTCAATATTCACTGACAACTTTACTACCCTTGAGGCTCGGATTTCATAGGTAATAAAGCAGATAACAGGCCAGTTTCCACATGTGAAACACAGTCTTATTCCTTACTAGTGGGCTTAGCTTATGAATGTAATGAGATTTTTGGCATGGTATTTGATTTATTCCACTATACCCTGGTAGGAAGACAGTTTTTATTGAACATATACAAATAACATAATTGTAAAAAGTGAAGCAATTTAGAGGCACTTACAATAGTCAACCATTGTTTTTAGTAATTGGTTGATAAGCCTCAATGCATTGCCATTTTTTCCTACATAATCATTTTCTTTAGTTTATCTGACAATTTATTAGCTTATAATTTATAACAATAATTTTTATTCTATTTGTCTTTTGTGAATTCCAAGGGGTCTGCTGGAACAAGATACCGTTGAATGAGTTTCACTTCACTTTGTAGATTGTAAACTGTAAAACTGTTGAATTGAGGGTTAGAGCTAGATCAAGAAGAAAGAAAAGGATTTTTCTTCTATGGCCATTAAAAATAGAACATGAACTGCAATGAAATTAGTTCATGTCAGTTTGGATAGCCAATTGTTTTTTTCCTTATCTTGGGGTAAGCAGGCTATTTTACAAAATTGCCATCTTCCAGACTGAGTCCTGGAAATCCAGACCCAGTTCCCTTGTCCATTCTGACATGTTCATGGTTTAAGGGGAGCCATATTGAGAAACCTGTACCCAGAGGCTGTTCCCTGTGATGTCAGCAGTCAGGAACCTGGTTCTTGACCGAGGGTCTTCTGACATTTCTTCAGAAAAATTTCTTTTTGATCCCTAGCTTGGAGCAGAGGCCTTTGGCAATAGTAAGAGGAAAGCAGAAGTTACCTATGGATAGGAGGCAGCATGGCTCTGGTTAACTTATTATAATAACCAACTTTATCACATTGAAATAGACTGAAGTCCTCCATTCAACTATAATGTAATCATTTCATAAGACCCCATCAATGATGGCCTTGAGAATAAGAGCTTTTTTTTTTTTTTTTTTTTTTTTGCGGTACACGGGCCTCTCACTGTTGTGGCCTCTCCCGTTGCGGAGCACAGGCTCCGGACGTGCAGGCTCAGCGGCCATGGCTCATGGGCCCAGCCACTCCACGGCATGTGGGATCTTCCCGGACCGGGGCACGAACCCACGTCGCCTGCATCGGCAGGTGGACTCTCAACCACTGCGCCACCAGGGAAGCCCAATAAGAGCTTTTTATGAACAGTAAGGACTTTTTCCAGGATCCTCTATTTATCCCATAAATTATCTGACATAACTGTCACCAATTGATGAGCATATATAAATCTAGAAGCAAAATCTTTTTTTAAAAGGATTAATTTTATTAGTAGTTATCATGCCGGTCTTTGTAAATGAACGTGAATATACTTTTGTCCAACCTGAAAAGTAAACTATTGCTGACGTGCATTCAGAGTAATAATATTTTACTTGTATATAATCAACCCAGGGAGGGAGGTTGAACTTCTCTTTTATTTGCTAGTTTTTCGCATAGGGTGGACCTGGTAACAGGAAAGCGTTTACAAAGTGTTGGGCTAATTGAAAATATGGAGAATGCCAAGCATACCTAATTATTTCTAGTTTTCCTTCTTTTATAAATTGAGGGAGTAAGTCATAGTTTACCCCGTGGCTGTCTGGGAAACCCAAAAGCAGTTTAGATGGAAATGACATCTTAACAATTTTATTATGTTGAATATGGGACTTGAATTCGGCAAAAAAGAATTGTCAGAAGAAACAAGAATTGCCTCATGCTATACCTGTATAGTTCCACCCTCCCCAGCCCGTAACTTCTGGCAACCACTGATCTGTTCTCCATCACCGTAGTTTTGTCTTTATGAGAATGTCATTTAAATGGAATCATGCAGAATGTAACTTTTTGAGGTTGGCTTCTTTCACTCAGCATAATGCCTTTAAGATTCCCCCAAGTCGTTTTAAGAATCAGTAGTTCATATACTTTTTATTGCTGAGTAGTAATCCACTATATGGATATACTACAATTTATTATCTCTTGACCTGTGGAAGGACATTTGGGCTGTTTCCAGTTTTTGGTAATTGTGAATAGAGCTGCTGTAAACATTCGTGTATTGATTTTTTTCTGTGAACAGAACTTTTCAGTTTTCTAGGACCAACATATAAGAATGGGATTGCTGGGTCACATGGTGGGTGTGTGTTTAACTTTTTAAGAAACTGCCAAACTGTTCTCTGGAGTGGCTCCTCTCACCTTTTTTTTTTTTTTTGTCTGTGCTGCATGGCATGCGGGATATTAGTTCCCCAACCAGGGAATGAACCCGTGCCCCCTCCAGTGGACCACCATGGGAGGCCCCTCCTGTCACCTGTTGTTTTTTTTTTGCGGTACGCAGGCCTCTCACTGTTGTGGCCTCTCCCGTTGTGGAGCACAGGCTCCAGACGCACAGGCTCAGCGGCCATGGCTCACGGGCCCAGCCGCTCCGCGGCATGTGGGATCTTCCCGGACCGGGGCACGAACCCGTGTCCCCTGCATCGGCAGGCAGGCTCTCAACCACTGCGCCACCAGACAAGCCCCTGTCACCTGTTTTTGACAATAGTTCCTTAATACCTGATAGTTCAGAGTTTCATTCTTGGCCCTCCTGCCTTTGGTGCTCTGCCATTTCCTGCTTTCATGGCAAATGCTTGAGCTCTAAGTTTGTTTGTTTTTCTGTTAAAAGCATAGACGTCTCTAAGGCTCAGTTTTTGTCTGGCTCACCTGTGTGTTCCCTGCACCTTCCATGTTGGAGTGGTTGGAAGAGTGGACGTGAGTGGTTGGGCCCCAGATAGTCGCAGTGACCTTTTTGCTGCGTGGCCTTGACAAGTTACATCGTTTAGTAATTTAGCTTCCACCCTTGAAAAAGAGATTCATAACACCCACTGTATGATTGTTGTAAGGATTAGATGGGATGAAACTCTTAAAGCTCTAAACATCTGTCTGAAATGCAGTCAGCGGCCAGTACATTTTTAACTACTAGCAATAGCGGTAGTTAACTTAGTAGTTAAATTACTCTATGTGGTGTGAAGTGATACAGGATGAAAAGTTGTCACTTGTACCTTTCAACTATGAAGGTAGTTTAATAGGCAGGCTGGCAGTGATCTGCCTCAAGAAGTGATCCTCATGTGTTCACAGAAGTCTTTGTTTCTCCTATAATGTTTCTAAGTGTGAAAGGGGCATTTCCTGTGTGTCTCTGTCACAGGAGCATGGCAATGGGGGCTGACTCAAGTGCACTTAGAGGACAGAAAGCATGGAGTTTGAAGGCTATGCTTATTTCTTTTCTGTTTTTTTTAAAAATATTTATTTATTTATTTGGCTGCATTGGGTCTTAGTTGTGGCACGCGGGATCTTTGTTGAGTCATGGGGGATCTTTGTGGTTCATGGGCTTCTGTCTAGTTGTGGCACGTGGGCTCAGTAGTTGTGGTGTGTGGGCTCTCTAGTTGTGGCACACAGGCTTAGTTGCCCTGCGGCATGTGGGATCTTAGTTCTCTGACCAGGGATTGAACCCGCATCCCCTGCATTGGAAGGAGGATTCTTAACCACTGGACCACCAGGGAAGTCCCGGCTATGCTTATTTTGATAGTTGAGTTTTTTGGGTTTTTTTAATGGCATTTATTTCACAAATTATACTGCTTTCTTTCTTCCAGTTCTGGGATTACCGCCAGCCTCGGAAATACCTCAATATTCTCCCTTGCCAGGTGCCTGTCTGGAAGGCCCGATACACTGTGAGTGAGATGCCCTACCTCTTGCTCAGAAACATTATCTAGGTGTTTTGGACAGAAGGGGCCAGGGACATTTCCTCTTATTTTTTTGTGAGACAGTTTTCTCCTTCTGTCTTGGTTTAGAAGTGGGACAAAGGTGGTAATGACGGCATAAAAGCTGTTATCTATTTAAAAATTTGCCCTTGGGTCGTTGGGTGAGACTCTATACTAGAAGTGCTAGACTAGCTGGGCTGGGGAGCTGGGCAGTGTGAAGGTGGTCAGTAAGGGAGGGGAAGAGGGTAAGCTGGAGGGTTGAGAGGCTGGAGGTCAGTGGATCGTGGTGGAAAGAACTCTGGCTTTAGATTCAGAAGACCTTGGTTTAGGGCTTGGCAATGCCATTTAATTTTTTTCTCCAGCTTTACTGAGATATAATTGACATATAACATGGCATAAGTTCAAGGTATACAACATGTTGATATGTTACACTTACATATTGCCAAACAGTTACCACTGTAGCATTTGTTAACACTTCCATCGTCACATAATTACCATCTCTTTTCTGCAATGAGAACATTTAAGATCTACTCTCTTTTAACTCTCGAGTATATCATATGGTGCTATTAACCATAATCACACGCTGTACATTAGATCTCCAGAGCTTATTCATCTTATAACTAGAAGTTTGTACCCTTTGACCAGCATCTCCCTGTTTCTCCCACCCCAAACCCCTGGTAACCACCGTTCTACTCTGTTTCTATGAGTTCAGCTTTTTAGATTCCACGTATAAATGATATCATACAGTATTTATCTTTGTCTGACTTATTTCACTTACCATAATGCCCTCAAGGTCCATCCATATTGTGACAAATGGCAGGGTTTCCTTGTTTCTTGTCGCTGAATAATATTCCATTGTATATGTACCACATCTTCTTTATTCATTCATCCATTAACGGACATGTAGGTTGTTTCTATATCTTGGCTATTGTGAATAATGCTGTAATGAGCCATTTAATACTTGTGTGGCCTTGGGCAAGCCACCTGTGTTTTTTGAGTAATAGTTTCCTCCTGTGTCAAACATGAATAATAGTGTTTAATATGCCTTGCTCTTTTTTAAAATTGTGATAAAATTCCTTATTTTCAAGTGTCCAATTTGGTGGCATTTAGTACCTGTACAATATGTTTTCCCTTTGGAAAAAAAACATGTATGAAAATGCTGTATAAACCACAAAATGCTACAAGTATAGTGGATAGGCTATTACCGACCTTCCAACTTTGTTGCCAGATTGATAATTGATTAGAGATAATATATTTCCTTCAGTGTCAACTTGAAAGGGAGCGCAGGGATGAATGAAGGTATCTTTATGCATTAGGCTGCCGCCTGCTGCGTCATGGAGTAAAGAAGAGAATTGGGGTATTACTTGGCCTTCGCATCTGGGAGCACTTGGGAGGAAGTCAGGCTTTGCTCTTGTGAATTGAAATACTTTTCTGGATTAATATGTTTGCTTTAAAAAACAAACAGGAAAGCTCAGGAGTGCTGCCAAGAGGGCAGGAGAAAATAAATGTGCTCTTAGGTGGCTTTGGCTTAATTCCTTAAAGAACAGAGTCTGCCTGTCAACCAAATGAGCCCCTTAGCTACCTCGCAGATTGGGTGTTTATAAGTGGAAAGTGTCAGTCCTGAAATTGGAAGGTTTTCCTTTTCAAAGCTGTGGTCTTGGGGGCAGTGGGAAGGTGCTGCTTCACGTGGATGGTGTGCTTCTGGTGCATTTCTACATGGCAGGGTTTGTTTGCTGTCTGGGGTTACCCTCCGTGTGCTTTGCACACTCATTCTGGGAATGTACTTGATACCTCTCAGAGGGAACTCGTGGAGAGGAGCCGGGGTGTTCCCGTGTGCAACCCCTAGAGCCATTTGCTTATTTTACATTAAAAAACGTTCTTCTCCAAGTATTTGTCTTAGCTTTATTTTTTACTTGCTGTGGTCCCTTCCATCAGCAAAGAAAAAAAAAAGGAAAGCAAATGAAAAGTAGATGTGATGGTCAACTGACGGTATTTGGAAAAATGTTCCCCAGATGGGTTGGGGCCTCCCATCATCCAGTTTATTTTAATTAGGCGAGAATTCCAACGTGGGTAACTCAAGACTCAGCGGATTCTCCCTGGAACAATGCCTGCTTTTCCCTCTTTTGCCACAGCCTTTCAGCAACGGATTGGTGACCGTGATGGTTCCCCAGCTGCGGAGGGAGAACAGCCTGCTCTTGTGGAATGTCTTTGACTTGAACACACCGGTCCATACCTTCGTAGGCCATGATGATGTGGTGCTGGAATTCCAGTGGAGGAAACAGAAGGAAGGTGGGTGGGAGGGAGACCGCCAACTGATTTCCTCCTGAGCCCTGCTCACCAGCAGCTCCCATCCGGGTGGGCCACGTGATCGGAGGGGAGGATGCAGGAACAGGGCTGGCTTAGGAGCGGGAGTCAGGGAACCTCCCCCTTTAATCGTAGGTGGATGATAGAGTGTGTGGCTGTGCTTCTTCCCCCCAAGTCCATCCTCTTGTGTTCTGTGTAGTCTCTCTCCTGTGTGGAAGGGATCTGGAGAGGTCCTTGCTGTTGGATCATTTCTAGAGCTGAAAAACTCTGGGGTCATCGCACGATCAGAAATCCCTGGCACTTGCTCCTTCCGCCCCCCACCCCGTTTTTGTTTATTTGTTTCGTTTTGTTTTGGCTGCAACGTGCGGCTTGTGGTATTTTAGCTTCCCCATCAGGGATCAAACCCGTGCCCTTGGCAATGAGAGCGTAGAGTCCTAACCACTGGACTGCCAAGGAATTCTCCCTTCCCCCTCTATTGATGAGGGAGATGCAAGGTCATCGTCAGTACCACCTACCATGTATTCCCAGTTCTCTTCACAAACACAAAGTGGTATTTCACCTCCCAACCCCTTGAAGATAGGTTTGACTGCGTGACCTGCTTGGATCTTGAAACATGAACAAAAGTGATGCAGTCTCTTTTGGGTTGAAGTGGTAACAACCAGTGTGCAATTATTTACCCTCTCTGCTTCTTCCGAGGTACCTGGAGAAACTCCATGTGGTGCTGCTCCCACCAGGGTGGGGGTGAGGTGAAGATGTAGAGAGAGCAGGAGAGCCTTGCATTAAGCCACTGAGATTTGAGGCTGTTTGTTATTGCATCTTAATCTAGCTAGCCCTCATTCATGCATCATAAGTATAAGGGGGATTAGGAAGCCCTCAGCCTCAGTTTCTCCACCAACTCACCATGCAAACTTAGTTTCAACCTCCCTTGTCTTGAGATCTTATTGCCACACTCTCTAAATGTTTTCCAGACCAGAAGTGTATTTCATGGTCTTTCCATACGACAAAAGGAAAACTGGGCAGTGGAGTGGTGTGACTTGTCCAGAGTCCAGAAGAGGTCTCTGGTGGACCTGGGTTTAGAGCAGTCATCTTATCCCAGCTCTTTTGTGACCTTCACAAGCCTCTTCTAGGATAGTTTTTTTGTTTTTTTTTTTAAATTTTTATTTATTTAAAAATATTTCTTCATTTATTTGGCTGCATTGGGTCTTAGTTGCGGCACGCAGGATGTTTGTTGTGGCATGCAGGATCTTTCACTGTGGCGCATGGGGTCTTTGTTGCAGCACATGGGCTTCTCTCTAGTTGTGGCTCAGGGACTCTAGAGTGCACGGGCTTAGTTGCCCCGTGGCATGTGGGATCATAGTTCCCCGACCAGGGATTGAACCCACGTCCCCTGCATTGTAAGGCGAATTCTTAACCACTGGACTACCAGGGAAGTCCCTAGGATTGTTTTTGAAAGGAATCTTTTGATCATGCTCTTAATTTTCCCATCTTCATTTCCATAATCTGACTTGCTTCTAGAAACATGAGGCTGCTTGGTCTCTATCCATCAATTTCCATGCTTGACTTCATCGTTCAACTCTTTGTCCTGCATTTTGCCATTGAAAAGAGATGATAGAGTTTCCCCATGGTCTGGCAGCGAGAGGTTGGCCTGTAGTTTCGGACTGAAATAAAAAGTTTTTAGCAACCCATTTTCAGTTGTCTGTGTCATCTGTAAGCTGGCAGGGTGAATTGTATAAATTGGGGCTGTCTAGCCAGTAGTGAAATTTTGAGTACAAGTTATAGGTGTTTTTTAAAAATTCCTTTTTATTGTGAGATATATCATCTACAAAATTGCATAAAACATGTAGAGTTTATAATGTGAAAATCAGTGTGACTACCACCAAGGTCAAGAAAGAAAGCATTGCTAGAACCCGGAAGCTTCCCAATCACAATCCTTTCCCTTTCCTAGAGGTAAACACTATCCTAACATTTACGATAGTGATTTCTGTTTTTATTTTTACAATTTACCACCCATTTCTGCATCCCTAAAAATAGTTTAGGTTTGTTTGTTTTTGAACTTTTTATAAATGTAATCATCCTGCATGTATTCCTTTTTTTAAAAAAAAATTATTTATTTAGTTGCAGCATGTGGACTCTTAGTTGCAGCATGCACGCGGGATCTAGTTCCCAGACTAGGGATCGAACCTGGGCCCCCTGCATTGGGAGCCCAGAGTCTTACCCACTGGACCACCAGGGAAGTCCCCATCCTGCATGTATTTTTTTTTTTTTTTTTTTTTTAATAAATTAGGCCTCACCTCACAAGAACATAGATTTTTTTTTTTTTTGCTGTGTTGGGTCTTCGTTTCTGTGCGGGGGCTTTCTCTAGTTGTGGCAAGTGGGGGCCGCTCTTCACTGCGGTGCGCGGGCCTCTCACTCTTGCGGCCCCTCTCGCTGCGGAGCACAGGCTCCAAACGCGCAGGCTCAGTAGTTGTGCCTCACGGGCCCAGTTGCTCCGCGGCATGTGGGATCCTCCCAGACCAGGGCTCGAACCCGTGTCCCCTGCATTAGCAGGCAGACTCTCAACCACTGTGCCACCAGGGAAGCCCCTGCATGTATTCTTATATTTTACTTCTTTCTCAACCTAATGGTGTTCCATTTTCTTTTTACTGCCATGTCTTAGTCAGTTTTTATTGGACCACCTCAGGCTTTGATGTTGGTTTTTCACTGTGGTGAAGGAGCTCCCAGAGGTAGGAAGAGAATCAGGATGTTGTGGTCCAAGGAAAAGGATGCTTCATGAAGGAATCAGAGGTCATTGGTTTTGAGTTTTGCTGAAGGATCTCCATGCAAAGTAAGAGAGAAGCACTTAATTGTATAAATAGGTATAAATAGGAAGCCATACGATCATTAAGAGACCAGTTCCAAAAGCTGATTGAGCAGGGAAGCCTGATTGTAAGACAGCGGAAACAGAGGCAGCACGAACTGGTTTTGTGAATGAAGTTGCCTTCAGAGGCAAGGAGTAGACTAAATTCCTTGGAGGAGGCTGCTGCCCTCTCTGTTTGAAGGCAAGGAGAAGAGGCAAGAAAGGGAGTAGGTGTGAAAGCAAAGGCCCTTTGAAAATAGGGAATAGGGCCGAAGACCCAAGTGGAGGATTTGGGTTTAGAAAGGAATTAGGCATAACTTTTCTTCAAAGTCAGGGACATGAAAAGAGGCTGGATGTGGAGTCAGAAAATTGTTGCTGGGACTTCCCTGGTGGTCCAGTGGTTAGGACTCTGTGCTTTCACTGCCGAGGGCCCGGGTTCAATCCCTGGCCGGGAAACTAAGATCCTGTGAGCCATGCAGTGATGGCAAAAAAGAAAAAAGAAAAGAAAATTATTGTTATGAACATGGGCTAGATGGTGGTTCTCATGACAGGTAGTAGCTCAGAATAGTTGCTGTCTTGATAGTTGTGCACAGGGATGTATTAAAACATGGAGGAATGAAGGCCTGATTGAAGGCAGTGACACAGAGAAGGAACTTTGGCCCTCACTCACTCTGTTCTTTGTTGCCTCAGTTTCCCCATCCATAATATGAGGGAATGGATGAAATTATTTCTAGATTCTTTGCTCTCTAAAGATGGCCATAAAGAAGATTCTAGATACTGCAGAATTACCCTGAAATGTTCTGATCTTTCGTAAAGCTCTTTCAGAAAGCACCTTGGACCTTTTTATTGATAGGATAATTTCCCTTTGACCAGACCTATCGTGTGAAAATACAGTTCAGTCAGTTAAGAACATTAAAGATTGATTATTCCTTTTATAAAGAGATGCATTTCCTTACCAAAAAATTATTTGAAACAGTAAGATGTCACGATGCATTTAAAACAGTTCATTTCACAAGCAACCTATTCATCCCCAGCTCCTCTGGAGCACATAAAAGGAAGAACATTTGTGGAGGTGAAAGTTCAGTGAGACATTAAATCCCAGCATCACTCTTCACTTGCTAATTTGTGAGCTATTATTTCACTTCATTTAAGTTTCAGCTCAGGACTTCCCTGGTGGCGCAGTGGTTAAGAATCTGCCTGCCAGTGCACGGGACATGGGTTCGAGTCCTGGTCCGGGAAGATCCCACATGCTGTGGAGCAACTAAGCCCGTGTACCACAACTACTGAGCCTGCACTCTACAGCCCGCGAGCCACAACTACTGAGCCCGCGTGCCACAATTACTGAAGCCCGCATGCCTAGAGCCCATGCTTCACAACAAGAGAAGCCACTGCGATTAGAAGACCGTGTGTAGTCACGAAGACCCAACGCAGCCAAAGATAAATAAATAAATTTATTAAAAAAGAAATAAGGGCTTCCCTGGTGGCGCAGTGCTTGAGAGTCCTCCTGCCGATGCAGGGGACACAAGTTTGTGCCCCGGTCCGGGAAGATCCCACATGCTGCGGAGGGGCTGGGCCCGTGAGCCATGGCCGCTGAGCCTGCGCGTCTGGAGCCTGTGCTCTGCAACGGGAGAGGCCACAACAGTGAGAGGCCCGCATACTGCAAAATAAATAAATAAATAAATAAAAATAAGGTTCTGCTCAAAGGTGACTTCTTCAGGGAAGTCCTGTCTAAAAATAGTTCCCCTGTCAGTCTCTATCCTCTTATCCCATGTTATTTTTTTCATAACATTGTCACTACCGGCCATGTTATTGTATGTTTGTCTGTTTCCACCATTGGAATGTGAGATCTGTAAAGACAGAGATTCTTTTTTTTTTTTTTTTTTTTTTAATCTGGTGATTTCTAGGGTCCAAGGACTACCAACTGGTTACGTGGTCACGGGATCAGACCTTGAGAATGTGGCGGGTGGATTCCCAGATGCAGAGGGTATGTATTCAATGATGCTATGGAGGAATGTTAACTGGATACACCAGAAACTTAAGATAGAAAATTTGGTAGTTGAAGAAGTTAGAGGATATGTAATGGACATTTAATACGTACTTGCTGGTTGGCCGAGTGGCTTGTGTATGCTACACTGAGGCTTTGAGGTATTCAAGAGCCCACTTCAGTATTCAGCACTTGAAGGCTACAAAGCCTCTGAATGTCTTTTTTTCCTCTTGTCCTGGTCTAAGGTAGTGTGGGTTAGCATACTGAGCAAGTGGCTTGGGGGCTTCATTTCTTTATCTTATAAATGGGTAGAAAACCTGCCCTGGCACTAGGCAGTGTTCAGAGTTCTCCGCGTTCATCAAAAACACCTGTTAAGTGAAGCCCTTTCCAGTTTTTGCCCCATCAGTTGTATCTGTTCTTATATGAAGCACAGTGGTCCCTGTGTGAACTGCTTTCGTGGCCCTTGCTTTGCTCTGCCCCATCACGGGGTTCTGTCTTCTCATCTGGTGGCTAAATTCCTTGAAGGTGGGATTGCTGTCTCACTTGTATTGCATCCCATACAGCACTCTGTACAGAGTGGATAGAAAATGCTGGGTCAGATTTGCTACACTGCTTAGTACCAAGTCATTCATGAGCAATTTTGGTCAAATATCATTACCTTATTGCCTTTTAAATCTGTTTTCTCCAAAAAGTACCATTTGCTCCAGATGCTTTGAGGTTATGATATTTTTGCTCTTGGGTTGGCTGAATAACTCCATCAAGGCTGGAGTTTAAAAGGTTTTCTGAGATTTGCGTAACCTATGAACATGATAAAACATTTTCCAGGGTAGACTAATAGAGTCTGTTACCCTGTGTATTTAACCAGGGAGAATTGATGATGGGCAAAACTCATTTTGATTGTATCTGTTTGGGGCTGACATCTCTCTCCTTTGTGATTCCCATTTTTAAGTCAGAACTCAATCAAACACGACAGTCCTTTCCACTGACTTCTCTAGACCTAGATCTATCTCCTCCCCTCTGTTGCAGCTTTGTGCAAATGACATCTTAGATGGTGTTGATGAGTTCATTGAGAGCATTGCTCTTCTGCCGGAACCAGAGAAGACCCTTCACACTCAGGATACAGATCACCAGCACAACTCCAGCCACGGGGAGGAAGAAGGTAATTGGTCACACTGATGTTTTAGGTGCGGTGCCCCTCTCTGCATCTCCGAGTTGTGGCAAATACCCCAGAACTGCTCTCTGAATCCATTTCAGAAATCTTTTCCAACAAGTTACCCTCTCTCTCCTGCTAGTCTTAAAGGAAGACCCCCCAAGCAGTCTCCTGGAAGAGAAGAAATCAGAGCAGCTGGGCCTGCCTCAGACTCTGCAGCAGGAGTTCTCCCTGATCAACGTGCAGATCCGCAATGTGAACGTGGAGGTGCTCGGGCTTAGCGAACTGTCTCTCGCTTGCGGTTGGCGGTTGGTGGGTGAGGGGACTATTTCAGCCATGATTTAGGCTAGCAGTATAGCTTTGCTGCTCTAACAGGGACGTCTTCTGTGCTTGCTTTTTTGTTTTCTAGGTTATCTAAGGACATAGATATTTTACAAATGCAGATTATTTTCCCTTACCCTATTATTTTCTCATAAGATGAACCAAGGGATAAACTGATGCTCAAATGTCTTAAAATCTCCTTAGATGCTCTAACACCTCATTTTACTCTATGTGAAGATGCTCAGCTCCTGGAAAGTTTAGTGTTTTGGTGGGGGTTACTGGCAAAGTTAATGGCAGGGCTGAGTTTGGAAGCCAGTCTCCTGACTCTTCAAGGCTCTTAGTACTTGGCTGTAGGATCTTGCCTTGTAAGCTGGTCATTTCCTCAGAGATTCAGATGCGTGTTAAGAAGGTGACCAAGCCTCTTTGTTCATTTAACACACGGAGAGATTTACTCTTTTCCTTTTGGGCAGGTATTGAAATTCTGTGCTTCAGGGAATTGAGTCTCTGTGAAGGAGTTTTAAAACTTGATTAGTTTTTCTTTTGCCCAGATTCAATTAACAGTAGGCCTGGATCTGTGCACTTACATAATTGTCTCATTTGGCCTTTAAAACAGCTCTGCAATAAGTGGTTTTATCCCCACTCTACAGATGAGGAAACAGAGACACTACGAAATGAAATAACTTGTCCGAGGTCAACAGCTATTTGAATCCGAGTCTCCAGATTTCCCACATGTGTGGCTCTTTTTGCCATCCTCCAGCTGCCGTCTCTAGTTGGCAGCACAAGAAATCAAAAGAGATAAAGGATTCCTTGATTAATTGGTTATCTATACCAACTCAGTTTATATTCCCTTTGTCCCAGTTGAGAATAGTTTGGATATCCAGTGATCTAGTCTAAGAAGGAGATCTTGATTCCTTTCCCAGGACTGCTTTTTAAAAATTACTGAGAGGGACTTCCCTGGTGACCCAGTGGTTAAGACTCTGCACTTCCACTGCAGGGGGTGCGGGTTCGATCCCTGGTTAGAGAACTAAGATCCCATATGCTGTGTGGCATGGGCAAATAAAAAAATAAATAAAATAAAATAAAAATTACTGAGCTATAATTCACATACCACAAAATTCACCCTTTTAAAGTTTACAGGGACTTCCCTGGTGGTCCAGTGGTTGAGACTTTGCCTTCCAATGCAGGGGGTATGGGTTCGATCCTTGGTTGGGGAGCTACAATCCCACATGCCTTGCAGCCAAAAAAACAAAACATAAAACAGAAGCAATATTGTAACAAATTCAATAAAGACTTTAAAAATCGTCCGCATCAAAAAAAAAATCTTAAAAAAAAAATAAAGTGTACAATTTAGTGGTTCTTAGTACATTCACAAAGCCATGCAGCCATCACCAGTGCTACTTTCAGAGCGTTTTCATCATCCCCAAAGAAACCCTACATCCCCTAGCAGCCTCTCCCCAGCCCCTGGCAGCCCCCATCTCCTTTAGGGAGGAGGATTTTCCCAGGAGTACTATTTTTTTTTTGACATCTTTATTGGAGTATAACTGCTTTACATTGTTGTGTTAGTTGCTGCTGTATAACAAAGTGAATCAGCTATATGTATACATATATCCCCATATCCCCTCCCTCTTGCGTCTCCCTCCCACCTTCCCTATCCCACCCCTCTAGGTAGTCACAAAGCACCGAGCTGATCTCCCTGTGCCATGTGGCTGCTTCCCACTAGCTAGCTGTTTTACATTTGGTAGTGTATATATTTCATTGCCACTCTCTCACTTAGACCCAGCTTACCCTTCCCCCTCCCCGTGTCCTCAAGTCCATTCTCTACCTCTGTGTCTTTATTCCTGTCCTGCCCCTAGGTTCTTCATAACCATTTTTATTTTTTAGATTCTATATATATGTGTTAGCATACACTAGCTAACACATGTTAGCATACATTTCACTTTCTGAATTACTTCACTCTGTATGACAGACTCTAGGTCCATCCACCTCACTACAAATAACTCAGTTTCGTTTCTTTTTATGGCTCAGTAATATTCCATTGTATATATGTTCCACATCTTCTTTATCCATTCATCTGTCGATGGACACTTAGGTTGCTTCCATGTCCTGGCTATTGTAAATAGTGCTGCAGTGAACATTGTGGTACATGTCACTTTTTGAATTATGGTTTTCTCAAGGTACATGCCCAGTAGTGAGATTGCTGGGTCATATGGTAGTTCTATTTTTAGTTTTTTAAGGAATCTCCATACTGTTCTCCATAATGGCTGTATCAGTTTACATTCCCACCAACAGTGCGAGAGGGTTCCCTTTTCTCCACACCCCTGCCAGCATTTATTGTTTGTAGATTTTTTGATGATGCCCATTCTGACCGGTGTGAGGTGATACCTCATTATAGTTTTGATGTGCATTTCTCTAATGATTAGTGATGTTGAGCATCCTTTCTCGTGTTTGTTGGCAGTCTGTATATCTTCTTTGGAGAAATGTCTATTTAGGTCTTCTGCCCATTTTTGGATTGGGTTGTTTGTTTTTTTGATATTGAGCTGCATGAGTTGCGTGTATATTTCGGAGATTAATCCTTTGTCAGTTGCTTCATTTGCAAATATTTTCTCCCATCCTGAGGGTTGTCTTTTCGTCCTGTTATTGGTTTCCTTTGCTGTGCAAAAGCTTTGAAGTTTCATTAGGTCCCATTTGTTTATTTTTGTTTTTATTTCCATTTCTCTAGGAGGTGGGTCAAAAAGGATCTTGCTGTGATTTATGTCATAGAGTGTTCTGCCTATGTTTTCCTCTAAGAGTTTTATAGTGCCTGGCCTTACATTTAGTTCTTTAATCCATTTTGAGTTTATTTTTGTGTATGGTGTTAGGGAGTGTTCTAATTTCATTCTTTTACATGTAGCTGTCCAGTTTTCCCAGCACCATTTATTGAAGAGGCTGTCTTTTCTCCACTGTATATTCTTGCCTCCTTTATCAAAGATAAGGTAACCATATGTGTGTGGGTTTATCTCTGGGCTTTCTACCCTGTTCCATTGATCTATATTTTTGTTTTTGTGCCAGTACCATACTGTCTTGATTACTGTAGCTTTGTAGTATAGTCTGAAGTCAGGGAGCCTGATTCCTCCAGCTCCGTTTTTCTTTCTCAAGATTGCTTTGGCTATTCTGGGTCTTTTGTGTTTCCATACAAATGGTGCAATTTTTTGTTCTAGTTCTGTGAAAAATGCCATTGGTAGTTTGATAGGGATTGCATTGAATCTGTAGATGGCTTCGGGCAGTAGAGTCATTTTCACAATGTTGATTCTTCCAGTCCAAGAACATGGTATATCTCTCCATCTGTTTGTATCATCTTTAATTTCTTTCATCAGTGTCTTATAGTTTTCTGCATACAGGTCTTTTTTCTCCTTAGGTAGGTTTATTCCTAGGTCCCAGGAGTACTTTTAATTTGAGTCAGGTTTTTAACATCTTCCTGCTTTATTTTCCCATCTCAAAATAAATATAACAAGTTTCAGCCTCCCTCACAGCTTTGGGATAAAGCTTTTTTAAGTAAAAACACTTTGAATTTATTAAATCAGTACTAAAATTAAAAATCCGTTTTGAAAATGAGTTGTCCACATCTTCCAAATTCATCTTTGGAGACTCTCTCTCACTCCGTTACCAGGAACCTAGAGCATTCAGTTACCTTATTTAAACCTGTTTGCATCTGAAGACCCTTTGCAGTTCCTCTCCAAAGCAGCTATTGATTTGTCCCCTGCAGATGGACGCAGCAGACAGGAGCTGCACAGTGTCTGTGCACTGCAGCAACCACCGCGTCAAGATGCTGGTGAAGTTCCCTGCGCAGTACCCGAACCACGCAGCCCCTTCCTTCCAGTTCATTAACCCCACCACCATCACATCCACTATGAAAGCGAAGCTGCTCAAGGTGGGCATCTGTGTTCACAAGTTCTCCTTGATGTCGGAAGTGGAGAGCACTGCTCATTTGCATCAGTGTCTGAGTCGAGCAGTGAAGTTGAGTGAAAAAACCAATTGATAAGATTTGGACATCATGTGTCCTTACACCTAACAGGGTTAACAGCTGTATTCTTTTTGTGTAGAAAACATTGAGCGCTGATTCTTAATCTCTTTGGGTCATGGACTGCCCCCTTCTAAAGTCTAATGAAAACCACACACCCTTCCACAGAAAAATTTGCACAGATATTGCATATAACTTCAGAAATATTGCATATAAATCATAGGCAATTATGTAATTGCATATAATCTGCTCACAGATCTCATTAAAGCTATGTGTTAATCTCAGGTTAATACAATACAATCTCATTTATTTGGAAACTGTAGGCAAAATGTATTCTGAAGCTAAAAGATACTTTCTAATCAGAAAAAAAGTATGTAAGGTCATTAAAAAAAAATCTGTTCCATAAAAGGAGATGTTGTTACTTAGAGTGAGGCAGGCTGGCTGGCTGGACAGGTGAGGTGTGCGATAGGACAGCGGTGCCTGAATGGAGGGGTACAGCCTGGCATCTTGTCTTTACCCTTACAGGTTCAGAAACTTGATTTGTCAGTTCACGCAGAGCTAATCAGGTGGAATCCTCATAAAAAAAGCCCCATGAGCTGAGATACGTCTTTTTCGGTCTGAGCAGCATCACATGTGAAATAGCAGAAATATCCTGACAGCACCAAGTTGACCTGAATGCTATTCATTTTGCCTAGTTTGTGTTATATACACTTGATTGTTCTATCTTCTTGGGGTATGATAGGTAACCAAGAAATTGTTCAAGCTTTGCAAGGGTCTGTGAAATGCTAATAACTCAGATTTTGTGGTACTTGACGTTTTGTCCTTGGAGTCTGAACATTTCGTTGCCTTGTTTGGACGTACAAAAAAGATAGATTTTTCTATTGGTATAAAAATGATAGGATAAGCAAGTGTATTAAAGGTCTAATTCAGTGCTGTCCAACAGAAATGTGATGCAGACTACATGTAATTTTCAATTTTCTAGTAGCCATACTAATAAAAAAAAGGTAAATTAATTTCAATAATATTTTAATTTAATCCAGTATATCCATATCATATCATACATGTATTATCATATCAACATGTAAGCAGTATAAAAATTATTGCAATAGCTTACATTCTTTTTTTTTTTTCTTTTTGGTACTAAGTCTTCAACCTTTGGTGTGAATTTTATGCTTACAGCGCATCGCAATCCAGACTAGCCACGCTTCATGTGCTTTATAGTCCAGTAATGACTTCCATGTTAGACAGCCCAGGTCCAATTTACATGCCTATCTTCAGTATGTGTATGTCAGGTTATACCGATAGCATGTGCTTTAAAATGTTAAGCTGCATATATATATGTATATAAAATACATATATATTATTAAAGTATAGTTGATTTACAATGTTGTGCCCCAATCTCTGCTGTACAGCAAAGTGACTCAGTTATACATATATATACATTCTTTTTTTAATATTCTTTTCCATTATGGTTTATCCCAGGAGATTGGATATAGTTCCCTGTGCTATACAGTAGGACCTTGTTGTTTATCCATTGTAAATGAAATAGTTTACATCTACCAACCCAAAGTTCCCAGGCCATCTGTCTCCCTTCCCCCTCACCCTTGGCAACCCCAAGTCTGTTCTCTATGTCTGTGAGTCTGTTTCTGTTTTGTAGATAGGTTCATTTGTGCCATATTTTAGATTCCACATATAAGTGATATCATATGGTATTTGTCTTTCTCTTTCTGACTTACTTCAATTAGTATGATAATTTCTAGTTGCATCCATGTTGCTGCAAATGGCATTATTTTGTTCTTTTTTATGGCTGAGTATTGTTCCATTGTATGTATGTATCACATCTTCTTTATCAATTTATTTGTCAGTGGACATTTAGGTTGTTTCCATGTTTTGGCTATTGTGAATAGTGCTGCTATGAACATAGGGGTGCATGTATCTTTTTGAATTATAGTTTTGTCCAGGTATATTAGGCTTTATATTTTTAAAGGACCCCCCCCAAAAGGTACATTTTAATTTTCACTAAAGTGAAATCTTTTCCCCCTGGCATGTATGTATCACGTGGAACAGTTTTCAGTCCAGACTGGAGGATATTACTCTAAGTGATGCTGAGATTTCTCATGGAGGAGGGTGGGGTCGGGGGGAGAGCAAAGGAGTAGAATTCACTATAAAGGAAGAATGGTGGTTCTAATCGTGCTCTCTCAGAGCCAGTGCATGTGCCTTTCCTGCCATGGCAAAGGAAAGGGCTTCTGGAAGAGGATTCACAAATGAATCTTTTCTCTGAGCCTCTCGGGGAGGGGGAAGGTGGTATGTTGTGTTGGCAGCCTCAGACACAGCCACGCTCCAGCGCCCCAGCATCGTTGCTGCTTCCGATGCTTCACACAATAAAAAAGAATCAGGAGAAAGAATGTTGCTCTTCTTGACTGCGTTTTGTGCCTTTTCTAGATCCTGAAAGACACTTCCCTGCAAAAAGTGAAACGCAACCAGAGCTGTTTGGAGCCCTGCCTGCGCCAGCTCGTCTCCTGCCTTGAGTCTTTTGTGGTGGGATCCTTGTTACCAAGCTGTGCTTTGGGGTTTCGTTTCCTTTCCTCCTCCCTAAAATCCTGGGCTCCCTGATCTTGGAATAATGTGTCCTGTTTTGTAATTTGGCTTGAAGACAGATTGTGGGTTTTAGTCTCTTGATTTTAAAATTTCAGAACCAAGAAGACAGCGCTTCCAGCAATCCCTTCGCGCTCCCGAACTCTGTCACGCCACCCCTACCGACATTTGCCCGGGTGACCACCGCCTATGGGTCCTACCAGGATGCCAATATTCCCTTTCCCAGGACCTCGGGGGCCAGATTCTGCGGGGCAGGTTTGTCTCTTTCGGTTCTCTGATTCTAGATTTCGAGAGAGAGAAGCTAAGAATGTCTGTATAAAAATTTCCATCAGAAAATGTTTCTTTGTTTTTGTTTCCTGAGAACTCAAAAGATTTCTGTCGTAGTGTTATCTGATGCCGAATTGGCATCTGGGGACATACCCTAAGAATGTTCACCAGATTTACAGACTTAACTTGTTTCATTCTGATGAGTGTGAATTTGAGTCTTGACTCAGCCTATTGAAAATACACATAGGAAATATATAAAGTGCTTGTGAAGACTTTTTCCAAACCACATATATCCCATCTCTCCTGAATCCTGGAGATTCTTATCTTTGTTTTTATTAAGTACGGCTGCCGTTGTGAGCCTGTGTAGCTTAGGATACTATGTCTTATCCTTCAGGTATATTGAGGTAGACAAAAGATTGACCAGTGCTTTCTTAGGATTTCCCATGACCAGCTCACTGACCTTGATGTGCACGTGTGATGTCTCCTTTGACAGGGTACCTGGTGTATTTCACAAGGCCCATGACGATGCACCGAGCAGTGTCTCCGACTGAGCCTACTCCGAGGTGAGTCTGGGAGATGCAGGTGTAAGCTACATTCATGGGCCAGAAATAGGCAGACATCTGAGAATTTGGACAGTTTGTGTTAGTTATCACTCATTATAAGATTTACTCCCAAAAGATCATGGTTCATTGAATTTCACCCAAGCTGAGATTTCTACTGTAAAGTTACTACTAGGAGTTGCTTGATAAAAACTGTTGTCAAAACAAGGCAAATTCTTTTTTAATGTGCTCTTCCCCTATCGCTAAAGTATTATCTGAATATTAAATAAAACTAGAATAATAGCAAGAGATAATCTATAGTCCCGTAACACTAATAGGCCACTTCTAACATTACCACACACATGTAGTGTATGTGCAGCCATCACTAGAGTCAATTCTAGAACCTTTTCATTATCCCAAAAAGAAACTTTGAATCCCTTAAGGGTCACCCCAGTCCCTAAGTCCCCCATTCCTCCAGCCCTGAGCAAACACTGATCTACTTTCGGTCTATAAATTTGCCTGTTCTGGACAGTTCATATAAATGGAATTATATGTGTGTACTTTTGTAACTGACGTCTTTCACTTAGTATATTTTCAAGGCTCATACATGTTGTAGCATGTATCAGTACTTCATTTCTTCTTATTGCCAAATAATATTCCATTACATGTATATACCATGTTTTACTTATTCATACATCAGTCATTGGACATTGGGACTGTTTCCACTTTTTGGCCATGATGAATAATGCTGCTATGAACATTCTGTGCAAATTTTGTGTGGATATATATTTTTTCATTTTTCTTGGATATATACCTAGGAACTGAATGACTGGATCATATTGTAAATTTTTTTCTTAATTAATACACTTTATCTTTTAGAGCAATTTTAGGTTCATAGCAAAATTGAGTGCAGAGTACATATACCCCTGTCCCCACACCTTCACAACCTTCCCCATATTAGTGGTTTTTTAAACTTAAATATTATGCTGTAGACTTCTGGTTCTGCAGTGTGATGACCAGGATAACTTGGAAACCCTCCTGCTACAAACACCTGGTTATACTGTATATGATATAATTAGCATACTTAATAATGAATAGCTAAGCTAACAAGAAAGAAAGGACATTGCACCAAGTTCATGAGCAGGTGCTACGGCTGTCCTGGGAGTTTGCCAGTTTCTGCAGTAACCCAAGCAGATGAGAACTTGGCCCTACAAGAAGTGGGAGTTAAATGCCAGAGAACGCCCTACATTACACTAGATTCCTTATGTGAAAGGTTGGACTAGAAAACAATCACCTACTCTTTTTTTTTTTTTTTTTTTTTTTTAATTTTATGTTTTTAGCTGAGTTGGGTCTTTGTTGCTGCATGCAGGCTTTCTCTAGTTGCGGCGAGCGGGTGCTACTCTTCATTGCACTGTGTGGGCTTCTCACTGTGGTGGCTTCTCTTGTTGTGGAGCACGGGCTCTAGGTGCACAGGCTTCAGTAGTTGTGGCACACGGGCTCAGTAGTTGAGGCACAGGGGCTCAGTAGTTGTGGCACATGGGCTCAGTAGTTGTGGCTTGTGGGCTCTAGAGTGCAGGCTCAGTAGTTGTGGCGCACGGGCTTAGTTGCTCCGCGGCATGTGGGATCTTCCCGGAGCAGGGCTCGAACCTGTGTCCCCTCATTGGCAGGCAGATTCTTAACCACTGCGCCACCGGGGAAGCCCCCAATCACCTACTCTTAAAAGGAAACAACAGATATCTGTATCTGGACTTTGGGTCAGTGGGAAAATGTTCCTATTAGAACATTTTTCATACTAACAGTATTGTATTGAGGTATAATTTAGGGTACACAAATGTGAAGTCTGTACCTTGATGACCAGCACCCAGATCAGGATACAAAGCCTTGTCCTCACTCCCAAAAGTTCCCTGGTCCCTTTACCCAGAGGAAATGATTCTTCTGCTTCCATCATTGAAGTTTAGTTTGCCTGTGCTTGAACTTCATCTAAATAGAATCATCCAGCACGTACTATTTTATGTCTGGCATGTTTTGCTCAACTTAACGTTTTTGAAATTGATCCACGTGGTTGCATGGATCAGTAGTTCCATGGTATGAAAATAATATAATTTGCTTATTCATACTCCTGTTGATGGACATTTGGATTATTTCCAGTTTTTATTTTATTATATGTAGACCTACACATACAAGTCTTTTTTTTAAATTTCATACAAGTCTTTTTATGGACATGTGTATTAATTTCTCTACCCAAGGAGTAGAATCCCTGGGTCGTAGGATACGTGCATGTTTAATTTTATTAGAATTGCCAAAAAATCTGTCCCCGTGGTTATGCCGTGTTATACTCTTCCAGCAACGTTTCAGAGTTCTGGCTGCTCCACATCCTCCCCCAAACTTGGTGTTTTTAGTCTTTTCAGCTTTAGCCATTGTGGTGGGTGTGTAGTATTATCTCATTGTGCTTTAATTTGTGCTTCCATGGTGATGACTAATGATGGTGAACAGCTTTTGTGTGCTAATTGACCACTTGGATATCTTCTTTGGTGATTTGCCTGTTCTAGTATTTTGTCCAGCTTTTTTTAGACTGTGTTTCTTATTATCTATTTGTGGTAGTTCTTTATCAGTTCTTATTGCAAATCCTTTGCTGGGTGTATGTATTGATTTTCTCCTAATCTATGGCTTATCTTTGTCCCTCTTTAATGATTTTCAATTTTCAGCAGTTTTAAATTTTGATGCAGTTCAGTTTATCACTTTTTAAGTGTTAGGGTTAGTGCTTCTGTGTCCTGTCTAAAAAAAATCTCTGCCTATCCCAAGGTCATGAAAATATTCTGTGTTTTCTCTTAAAAATTTATAGATGTAAATTCCTTATCTAAGGTCTGTAATTAATCTCAAAGTAATTTTTGTGTATGATGTGAGGTAGGGGTCAAAGTTTTTTTTTTCAGTAGAGATATATAGTTGTCAAATATATAGCACCATTTATGGAAAAGATTTTGCTCTTGTTGAATTTGCATTGATACCTTTGTTGAAAATCAATTAACCGTATGTTTTGGATCTGTTTCTGGACTCTATTTTTTTCTTTGGTTTATTGGTCTCTCCTTATGCCAACACTACACTGTTAATGTAGGTTTATATAGTAAGTCTTCAAATCTGGTAATGTTAAGTCCTCTAACTTTATTATTCTCATTCAGGATTGTGTTGACTACTCTAGATCTTTTGCATTTCTGAAAAAATAGAAATCAGCTTACTGGTTCCTACAGAAAAAAGCCTGCTCATATTTTGATTGGAGTTGTGTTGATTCTATAGATCAACTTGGAGAAAATTGACACCTTAACAATCTGGAATCTTCTAGTCTATTAACACGGTGTATTTCTCTATTGTTTTGAGTCTTTAATTTCTCTCAGCAATATTTTGTATTTTCCATGCACTTTTTTTTTTTAATGTGTTCCTAGGTATTGCATGTGTGGTTTTTTTTGTTTTTTTTTTTTGTGGTACGCGGGCCTCTCACTGTCATGGCCTCTCCCGTTGTGGAGCACAGGCTCCAGACGCGCAGGCTCAGCGGCCATGGCTCATGGGCCCAGCCGCTCCGCGGCATATGGGATCTTCCCAGACTGGGACACGAACCCGTGTCCCCTGCATCGGCAGGCGGACTCTCAACCACTGCGCCACCAGGGAAGCCCGGTATTGCATGTGTTTTGATGCTATCGTAAATGCAATTTTATTATTTTCCAAATGTTTGTTTTTAATATATAGAAATACAGTAGATTATTGTAGATTGACCTTGTATCTAAATTCACTTATTAGTTTAAGTAATTTATAGACTCCTTTGAATTTTCTATGTATATAGTCATAGAAACATTCTCTGCTTCTGCAGATAAAGCATTTTTCAGTTCTAAAAGTGCTCTTTGATTCCTTTTTGGAGTTTCCATTTTTTCCCCATTTTATCCATCTTTTTCTCCTGATTTCATCAAGCGCTAAGAATGGCATCACTTAGAACTATGGAAAGATCCACACCAGTATGGTTAATCGTGCCTTTTCAACCACAGATCTCTGTCAGCTTTGTCTGCCTATCATACTGGCTTGATTGCGCCCATGAAGATCCGCACAGAGGCCCCTGGGAACCTCCGTTTGTACAGCGGGAGCCCCACGCGCAGTGAGAAGGAGCAGGTCTCCATCAGCTCCTTCTACTACAAGGAGCGGGTAAGCCGCTGATCCACGGCCTTTGATTCTTATCCCTTCCCCAGATTCTTGTCCTTGGCCTCCCTGCCTGCCATGCACAGCAGCTAAATTAGTGATCCTCCTGTGGTCTTTCCCTTTCATACTTAGTGTGTTAGAGAAAGACCGTTGCTTTGTTCCTTTCGGTTGGTTTTTAACTACTGTAAATTGTATAGGAGGGGGAGCGGTGGTTGGTTGTTATAATCCGAACTCTTCCCTCCCCTTTAACCCTGTCCTGTGGTCCCCATATATGAAGTCGATTCCCATCCTCTCAGATAGAATCACGTAGCTTCAGGTCTTCCTGGGTATTCTGATGTTTGTCACCAAATTAAGGGATGCTTCAGAAGGCTTGGGATCCTGATATATTTGGAACTTCATAGTTGTGGGAGGTTTTCAAGTTGACCTCTAAGAGGTTTTATACTTAGTTTACTAAGTCTGCACCGAAGTACCCATTTGAATGGACCGGTTTATACAAAAATCCCCTGAAACTGTCCTTCTGTTCCTGGGTTCTTAAGGAACTCATCGTCCCTACAGTAGCTATTAAGCTGTCAGAAGCCTTTGGTGACGACAGTGTAGAGAATATCGGCAGAGCGTGGGAATGATTCTGAGAACTTTCTGTGTTATCAGGTTGAGTCTGACTTAAACTGTCTTTTAACTGACATGATGTATTAACTGGTTACCACTGAGCTACTCACAAACTCAGTCCTTAGGAATTCTTTGTTGCTCTCTCCCCCTAATTGAGAAATGATGGATTGCCTATAGTTAAAATTTGTTTTTTTGTTAAAAATTGAGTTATTTAAAATAGAACCCCAACTTCCAGCAAGTGTTAGAGGTGTCTTCACTTTGATTGCAGTGTAGTGTCTAACCTTCCTGGTTTGCATGATGTTGGCTGTCGCTGACTTTGTCAGGTCTTAGGGTTGTATGTGACAAATGAGTGGCAGGAACTGATGCTTGAGGCATGACCAGTCTTGGGCAAAACCTTCAGTCAAATAGGGAAAATGATTTTTTGGTTGCCTTTCTGGGCAGCTCCATAGTCCCTTTCTTTGCATCTCTGACGGAGTTCTCCACCCCACCGCTGCCTCCCCCCACCCCGCCCTGTCCTGCACCTGTCACAGAACTTCTTAGAACACTTTTATCTTCCCAAGTCCTTTACATTCAAAAAAATTTTTTTTTCTTTTTCTGCAAGCTAGCGGGTAACTGGTGAGAAGCTTTGATAAACTGTTTGGAACTAAGGCATTTTATTATTGATGTAGTAGCTAAACAAACTCAAGGTTGAATAAATGTGGGAATTTTCTTTAGCACCAGGGCCAGGTTGAGGAGACCTGTTAGTCAAAGAGGCAGTTCTGAATTCCCCTTTGCATCATGCCCCGTGCTTCTCGTGCTTGGGTTCAGATTGGGCAGCATAGCTGGGACTTGCACTTTTGACCCTGTGATAGTGTGTAAAGGTCGTGTTTCATCAAAATAACTCCATTTCCAAGAAGGAGGAGCCTCTCCTAATGCAGAAGCACTTGTAAGGCCTACATTTATATTTTTGACGGTGGGGACTCTCTTTTACAACAAACACACTGTAATCATGAAGAGGGAACAAAGGCACTTAGATAATTAGCTCTTATCAGACAGGATATGCTGGGGCGTGGAGGAAGGATTGGTATATTTCACTTTGGGGTGATTCCCAGTGTGTTGCTTCTCCCCAGAAAACAGGCCATTGTAGCCCCCTAGAATGACATAGTAAGTGGTCTCTGAATTGTATTTCAGACAGTGAGCGAATAAAGTGGGGGGAGGTAGTTTTATTATAATTTCATATGAAACTTTTGTATTGATGTATAGCCTATGTGCAGAAAAGTTCACAAATCATAGGTCTATAATTCAGTCAATTAGCAATCACAGGAAATAGACTGTTCCCAGACATAGACTATTCCAAGAACCCTAGAAGCCCTGGGGGAGGGAGGCACATTTTAATGTATGACACATAGTAATTATTAGGGTAAATCATATGAAACTGCTGATATTTGAGCATTTTTGACCTTAAGAAAAAGTTTCACATGGTTCAGCCTAGTAAGAAGTTAAAATCAGTTATCAATAACTGGTCAGTCAGTTATTTTGTGATGAATCTAAAATAAACTTGTAAACTCTCCTTGAAGCTAGTTCATGTCCATCCCATTTACATACGGCATGGGGAAGGAATTACAGGCATGAAATATGGCCATCTTATTTTCCTCACAGAGGACGATAACAGTTTTATCCCTCGAGAAGTATTTTCTAATTCTTGGGTGTCTAGTTTCAAATGTCAAATAATATCACTTTTATTACTTTTGTCCTGGAAACGATTCCAGTGTACTAAATTTCTCTGTGCTTCAGTCTTCATTTTCACCCCAAATTTTATCTCCTGCGTACTTTTATTCTTGTTTAGATCTCTACCCCTGAGAGCTTTAAATGACTAAGAAGAAAGGAAAAGAATATAACTGCATTAAAGTATCACAATGAAAGAATTATAGAGTATTTTGGAGATTGCAGAAATAACTTCCTAGAGCTATTGGGGACTAATACTCATTTCTCTTGTTTTTGTGTTTTTAACCTGTCCTACTTAGGTCATCTTGTTATATCACCCAGAGGTTCTCCAGATGGAATTCCAATGTTTGCTCTTAAAATTTTTTTAAATGTGAGAGATGTAAAAATAAATTAATAAAACCATTAAATTTCATATAAGAAGTTAGAAAGCACAGAGAGATGCTAACATTCATTTGGTAACTGGACCATCTATTAATAGCTGATGAAATATTGTTTATTCTTAGGGTAAATCAGAAGGCCCAGGACTTAAGGTAAACATCAGGCATTGCCCTGTAAACATTTAAAAAATTTTGCAGCTTCCCACATTCACTTCAGTTGACATCACTAAAATAGCTTTAATGTAAATAACTGAGGAGGCCTTGAAGTTAATAGAGTAATTTCTGATTTCGCAAAACAGTGTTGTACGCTCCCAGTTTCACACTGATGCTCCCGTGGTTAGCGAGAGCCCTGGGGAGCATCACCCTTCAGTTCTCTCAGGCTCTCACTTCCTCGTGGCACCACTCTGAGGATGGTCCTGCAGTCCCAAGGTCAAGACTTCAGTTTCCCTGGTGCCCCCCCAGCCACACACCAAAAACAATTCGGTGTTGAATCTCTTGAGGAACTTCTTTCTTTTTAGGAATGAGAAGCTTCTCGCACATACATATGCTTTTGAAGGGGAAGCAGAGTTCTCCAGCTGTTTCCTTTTTTTTGGCTGCGCTGGCCTGTGTGGGTCTTAGCGCAGCATGTGGGATCCTAGTTCCCAACCAGGGATGGAACCCGCATCCCCTGCATTGGAAGCGTGGAGTCTTTACCTCTGGACCGCCAGGGAAGTCCCTCCACCTGTTTCTTATGATCTTAATTCTTGTAAGAGAACCACAAATCTCCGTCGTAGTTCCTCTGTCAGAGCTGTGTGGATGTCAGCCTCCTGATACCTTGAAGTGTGTTTCGGACTAAAGGACAACGGCATTGAAGCTGTGTATGGAGTGTGATGGGTTGGGAGTGGGGTGAGGGAATCTAAATACTGCTGTGCTGAGTTTCAGATTTTTCAGTCATTCCCATCCCAATTTTGCAGTATATTATGGTACCTTTGAATCCATCAGATGTATGGGAAGCTTTCATTTTATTCTATATTTTTTCCCTTTTAATTTTCTTGGTGTTTTTCTTCCCTCCTCGTGGGTGTAACGTTTTCACGCACAGATGTCTCCTCGCTCTGCCCGGCGACGTTGGTCCATACAAGCAATTAACGACTTCCCGGTACTGTGCGCTGTGCAAATGCTCTCCTTAACTAATCCTGTCTCTGCCCAAAGGCCCAAGAATAAAGTGCCACCTGCCTGGCTTTGAGGAACCTGAAATGACAGGCTGGCTGGTTTTCAGGACCAGCATAATCAATTTCTCACTCTTGGGAGTCAGGCACCAAGGACTGCCTCCTGGTTCTATCAGTTTCAAATGGGTGAATACTGATATCGTTAAGGATTGTGAATGGACTTCTTTGAAAATGAAGCTGAATGCTGGATTTCTTGGAAAGAACCCCAGTGATAAGCCTTTAGCTCACCTGATTTCACTTGGAGTATTTGTATAATTTCATAGAGCTTTCAAAAGCCTACCTTTGGCATGGTGGGGCAGCAGAGGAAGATATAAGAGGCTTCTACCATTTTGTCTCCATTTTTATCGTCTTGCTCAAGTTCAAAGAGGGAAGTGCCCACCTGCTTCATTGGCATGACACCGAAGCTAGATTTTAATCCTTTGGGAATTTCCTGGAACAAATTTTTTCCTTGCCATCAGTATTTTACATTGACAATAAAACCTCTGCAATGGACGTCTTCTCTTCCTTTTCTCTTGCTTACTCTCTCCTCTTCTGTCTTCCTCTCCCACCCCCTTTGTGTTTCAGTCGTGCCATGGTGACCTCAGGCTGTGCAAGGCAGCTTTGAGGCTTTTGTGTAAGTTTCATTTGGTGTTTAAAAAAAAAAAAAAATTAGGGGCATAGTCCTATAGCCTTTTCATATAAAAACCGGTTGAAATCAGGAACCTTGATTAGCAAGTTCCACTGCTGCCCAACAGCCTGGGGGTGGAGCTGCCTCCATGGCCATCTTTCCTCAGAAAGCCTGTCCTACCAACCCAACTGCTGCGTTTCCACTGATTTTTCCAGAAGTCCCTGCTCCTGCTGCTATTTAAAGAGGAACTCATTTTGACTCACTGCCCACTCTGCTGATGATTATGCATTGTCTACGGGGTTGCTGCGAAGCAGTTGGTGGCTTATTCTTGGGCTGTTTTTACATTTAACCCATTTATTGCCATTGATGTTGCCTCCGATTGTAGCAGTAACACTGGTGGTTCAGTTGCAAGCTGGCTATTGGTTGTCATTCAGTGCTCTCTGCACCAGTGCCTCCCCCTCCCACCGCCCCTCCCTCCCCACCCTGATCCTCCCTGTCCTGTTTCCCGTAATTCCATGAACACCTTCTTGGTCTGTTCAGAGGAGCATCCCAGTCTCATCGTGTGATAACTTGTCTGTCTTGCTTTGTCTCTCCTCCCTCGATCCCTGCTCATGGAATCTGTGGGGAAGGGGTGTTTTCTATCGATGGGGCATTGAGATGACCTAAGAGAAGTGCAGAGTCCTTCACCTCCCAGAGGTACCGATTTTACTGCACAGAAACATATCCACATTTAAGCCCGTCAGAGTGGGACTGGAGCAATGCAGGAGGTTTTAGGGGGCTTTGGGGCCCCTGTGTCCTTTTCTCACCTGGAAAGGTCAGCCACACCTCATCCCGGTGTGTCATTGTTGTCGTCACCTGACAGGTGCTCAGACTAGAGAGGTTATTCTAAAATCTCCAGCAAGATACTAAGGCAAAGAAATCTTGGGTAGGTGTGGATGAGGTATGAACCATTTTTGTTGCCAAGACACTAGAGGAAACACTGCGTGCTTCTTAGGGAGCACCTGGGTCCTAGGCCCTGACACCTGATTTGAGATCTACCACATCTTTGTTTAGGCAGCCTTGTTGGATTTGAATCCCCAGAATAATTTGCCATGAGACAGGTTTACTGAGTGACCTCCATAGCCTGAAGGGGAGATAGTTCATATTTAAAAGCCATCAACCTCCAAGTTTGAAAAAAAAATACTTTGTGACCCCCCCGCTTTAAAGATTTTTTATAATGTTTTATCGTTATTCCTTGCTGGATTAAATGAACAAAAACAGCTGTCCCTTAATTGCTTTCACACTTTGATTCTTGGTGGCAGCTATCATTAGGGTGACCCTGTGTTAGGGAATCTCCTTCTATTGTAGGCTCAAAGGCAGCTTATCGAGGTCCGTAAAGCACCACCTGTACATCAGTACAGATCAAACAGAGAAGCACCTGGAAGCCTGGTGTCTCGAGAAGCTGACAAGGAAGTCCCAGGAAATACAGACATGATTTCTGTAATTCTGTGAAGAGTAGTTGCAGAAAGCTGCCCAGACCACTATCTTTACATTTTCATCAAGGACTTATTGATGACTCACACGGGCCCGTTTCTGCCAATCTCTGTCACCCAAGACTGCAAATGGGAGAAGAGCCCTGAGACGTCTCTTTGGACGCTGAGTTTTGTTTTCTCTGAATGTGTCGAATCCTAACAAATCCAAAAAGGAAATTAAACGGCGCGAGGTTCAGGCTCATAAGCCTGGCCTGAAACACAGCACCTTGGCCTGAGCCTGGCGTGTTGAGCCCTGTAGCCACAGGAGCTGCTTGCCTCTGCCTGTCATCAGCGCGTTGCTCTGGCTCAGCAGTGCTTGGCAGAGAAGTGACTTTAGAAGTGAGTAATTGTAGACAGTGGTGTGTTGGACAGCCCTCACTGGAATCAGATGATCTCCATATATGCAGAAATGGATCTGTTTTTATACGGATCAAACTATTTACATATTAACAGGTAGCTTAGTCAGGACTTAAGTTTCCCCCCTTTTTAATCTAAAATCATACTCTTAAAAGCAGGTTAACAAGTATGGGCTTAGCAGCCTGAGAACCTGTGTTCAAAGCTCAGCTCTTAGGAGTGTGGCCTTGAGTAAGCTCACATCCTCACTGGTGAAGTCCAGGGCGTCTCTCATTTCCCAAATACAGGCTCCTCTCTGGCCATTGTAGGGAGGGCTCTGGGGAAATAGGATAATTGCTCGTGATCTTCTTCCACATCCATTACCCAGGTCCCTCTGCTCAAGTATTTTTGACATTCTGAAAATGATCCTTTTTAGAAATATTTCAAGTCTGCTAGGAAAAACATTCTGACGTGAGCTAGTCTATTTGCAAATGAACCACTTTGGGCACATGGGCCTTAATATTATGCTTTCATTGGGTTTGCTTAAAAAGTCAGGCAATTGTGGATGTTTCCAGCGTGGTCTGAAAGCTGTAGACCCCATCCCTCACGAGGCGTCCATTGGTTTCCACTGTTCAGTTAAACGGATCTGTCGTGAATTGCTCAATTGTTGAAGGGCTTCTTATTTTCTCTTTGTAATAAGGAGCCAGAGTCAGTGCCTGGAACTCTTTTAGAAGCCTTTCAACAAACCTGGAAGACCCAATTAGATGGATCCTATTTGATTCCAGATGGAATCTTTTGAATGTAGATCTTTTCTTTCTGCCTTTCAAAAAAAATCCAGTACCCTAAATGTCATTGGAGATGACGAATTATGTGGGGCCTTGTGGGTATGTCATTTCCCAGGATTCTTAAACTTCCAGAAGTCTGGATGAAAGTCGCAGTGAAGTGAGTTTATGGACTGATGCCTTCCGTGTTCTAGTTAACCATGTTGTGCCGTCCCATCACTGCAGGGTCGGTGTATGCTGAGTTACTCTCTGTAAAACCGGTCCTAGTGCTCAGGGCACGTGTGACAGCACAGTCTAATGTCGGTAAATGCTGCCTGGCTCCAGCCCATCCTGACAGGCCATTTTTCTCGTTAGCACACTCACCCCTTACTTGCACCCACATCACAGTTCTTCTTTAGAAAATAACCAAGGCCAGCAGAGAATTGAAGGGCTACTAGCCCCCAAGAATAGATGCAGTTTCCTCTTGTGTTGCAGAATAATGACTTGTGTATGGATACCTAGTAACTGAACTGCTTCTGAGACCAAATAGGTTAAGGTTCCAAATTGATAGCATATGTATTTACAAACGATGATGAACAATTCAAATACTTTAGTTAAACATCTACATTTACCTGCCATGCACTGAGTCCGGGTGTCCTGGGTTTAGCAGCTTCCATGCCGCTTACTAATCCTATGGGAAGTTACATGCGTTGGACAACTTTGGGGGTTAGATGGGACGTGAACGGTCAGAAATGCCTGGATATAGACCATGACTGATTTATGGAAGAGCGATTGTATCAAAATCACTGGTGGAAAACGAATTTATCTATGAACCATCTAAATAATAATATACTCTACATGCCCGAGAGTTTATGGACATTTATAATAATTACAGATTTTTAAATTGCACTCTTTC